AAAAAAAAAATTTTTTTTTTTTTTTTTTTTTTTTTTTTTTAACGACTCGGTCGTAATTCTTGTGTTACGACTAGCGTCGGTGCTGTCGAATTTCAGCTTGGTCGATCGGGAAGAACGAGGAGATGCGAATTGAGGGAAATTGTGGATTTATCGTAAAACAGGAAGAAAGTGAAGTCTCTTTGAGGAAAAGTAAAATTTAAACTCGTATAATTTTGTAATTATAATTTTTTTAGGGAAGAATTTTTCTTTTCTTTTCGTTTCACTTGAAAAGCTTAAGAATTGAGGATGCGCACGAGAACTCGTACGTCATTGCATGATTCGCCATGGACCCTGAAACTTTGTTCTTTGTTCACCACGAAGGCTGAACTCTGCGCAGCAAACCGGAAAGATCCGATTATAGCGAGTTCAATGGGTTACGAAGAATTCAATTAGGAAATCGTCTTACCTATTGTCCTGCTCGCTGAATTTTGGAGAAATGGGAAAATCTGGATCGATAAAATTAAAGACAGATTAACGATCGGGTGTTGCATTGCTACACGGGATATTGACGATACTTTTTCGTGGTTTTCAAATTTGTATTTTTTTTTTCCTGGAATAACGCGAATTTTGCAATTGTCTAAAAAAAATCGAAAATCGTATGTTTTTTTTTTCGTTTTCTGTAACGCACGCGCTTTGACCGCTGCATCGATTCGTATTCGGATAATTTTTTCCTTTTTTACGTAAACCGATTAAATTAGCCGCCAACGTAAAACAACGATCGGATGAAAGGATCGATGCCTCCACGAAGAACGTATTGTTGGACGCCGATGGCAGTGACATCGGTTTCTGGCGGCACTTCCGGTCCACGTGGCGATCCCTCAGCCCTTTCGACGAGGGAAAATTACCCGCTGATATTATCATACAAAAAGAAATGAAACTCTAAAAAATTAAATATACTGGGTTATTCAGTAGAAATGCATCGCATGAAGTTAGCGCGCCCGTCTGAGTTTTATCGTAAAACCATGTTCGTCTGGTGCGTTTGAGCTGAATAACCCGGTATATTGGTAACACATAATTCAATCACCGAAATTTGTTTCTCGTTACAGCTCAATAAGCTATACTAATATTTTTAATTTTGTCAAAATTGATTTTCAACTCTCAATAAATTTTATCGACTTTCGAAGAATCAGGTAGAATGCGATAGTCAAAAAATACTGTATTTTTTATCCCATAAAATTTAATGAATTATACATTAATCTGATTTTGTATTCAGATAAAAATGACATTCCTCTAGAATTTTATGTAAAAATGTCAAAGGTCACCTAGTCACATATGCACAGAAGCATATGCGATCCTGCGGAAAAATATGGCCGGTAAAAGTTCAATATTAAGTCGATATTTCAAAGACCGCGCAGTGGACCTTCAAGATATCTCGAAAGTCCTTCGAAAGGACTATCCTTACATTTTCCTACCTATAAGGATATAAAACCCTAGAAAAATACTAAACCCAGCTAAAATATAATCCTGTTGAAATTCATCGAAGCGGAAATATTTTTTTTATTTTACGAACCCTCCACGATACGATATCATGATATATAGCGATCTTTTGTATACCTATATATACACATGCATTTACTATATCTATACATCTTATACCCAAGAAGGCAAAAGCGATAATGCGAATTAGCAGAGCGTTCATGAAAACAAGACTGTTATTGACATCCAAAGTATAATTTGGTCCTTTAGCCCTGACTTGGTTCAGCGAGTTCTGACGTAAAAGTTCTGAGAGCACTTTGAATTCGTAAAGATAAAAGATAAAGAATCATCTAAAAATCAGAGTAAAAGAGCGAAAGTTACATCTGATAAGAAAAAGTCCTTTTGACATGTGTCACGTGACTTCAATCAATGCATTGAATGATGCTATTTGACTTGTTTCGGAGAATCATGAATACAACGCCATCTGTTTTTTGATTTCAGAGGCACCTCCGGTAGACGTGGCCGGAAGCCAGACGTCGACGGGCGCATCCGTCCGACCGTTCCTGCAGAGCAGAATGGTAGCTTCGAGTCACAGTCTTGAAGAGCTTGGGGTGACTCACCCTGCCAGCGCGAGCAGCGAGCGACAGCAGCAGGAGAAGCACGGGCAGCCGAGCATAGCTTGTAAATCGGCGCAAACGGCCCAGGATAAGCGAAGCAGGTTGAGCAGCGTGATCAATAACCTGAGGAAGAAGGTGCCGGAGAATAGGACGTCGGACACGAGGTCGGAGGAGGACGACAGAAATAGCGTCGAGAGGAACCTGGAGACCCTTGAGAAATACGTGATGACAGTCCTAAATGGAGTGATCAAGGACGAGGAGGAGAATCGGATCGAGGGTCATGACAGGACGAAGGATCCTCTCGAGAAAGGATCGTCCCAGGACGAATCCAGGGACGTCCGTAAGGATGACTCCAAGACTGACATGACCTTCGAACCTTCTGAACCTTGTGAGAGTCAGATGGAAGCTGCTGTACCGATGGTCCATGATCTGGACCAGGCTGACAAGGATGTCAAAAAAATTCAAAAGGACGATCCAGGCGACCTGGTCGTCTGTGAAAACCCGAAGGATTCACAGGAAGCGACCCTGCTGGCCGAAGATACCTTAAGCAAAGATGAGGTCGTCGACCATCTTGAGAAGATCGTTTCCGGTACCAAGAGTCCAGCCGTCGCTGAGGCTTCGAACTCTATGGGGAACCTTGAGGATATGGGTCCCATTGAAATTACCGATGATCATCCGAAGGAGGAACGCGGCCCTGAGGGTTTTGAGCTCAGAACCATTTGCAGAGATCTGCTGAACGATCTTCTTAACGATATCAATCAATTGATCGACGATAACGCATCCGAGGATGCGGATGATAACGAGAGTCTGGACAGTGTCTGCGAAGATTCCTTCATCGGTTCGGAACACTCTGAATCCTCTAGAACGAGTCTGCATTGTAGTTTACCTTTGGAGAAGGTAGCCTCGGTGCTGCAGAACTGCCAGTCCGACCAATCGGCGTCCCTGAAGAGTCCGTCTTTCACGGCGAAACCACCATCGCCAACCGTGCGACACTTATGCCTTTACTGTGATAGAAAATTCTTGTCCATATCCTTACGGCAAAGACACACCGAGCGGGTCCATCAGCTGGGCGGAGGTCGTAGGTCAGAAAGAAATTTTCGAAAGCCATCTCAAAATTGTCAATACTGTTCGGACAGGTGTGCGGACAGTCTCGATGGATTATTTCAGCACATGGTTGGTAGCCATGGTGACAAGTATCATGCCTGTCTCCAGTGCAACACCAGATATTTAACGCGCGACGCTTTGACGACTCATATGAGTGACGTTCATGGGTCGATCACCGAGAGGATCCTCCAGATCGATAAGATCAAGGAGTTTTTATCTTGCAAAGAGACAACGAATCAGCATCCACGTGATAAGAGTGCTGAGATCAAAGAACCAATCGCGGCCAAGGATGAGCCCGAGGCAAAGAGCGATAACAACTCAATAAAACAAATTGGCATCACCATCCCGAGCGTTGCTAATGCCGGCAAGGACAACCTGAGCAATCCCGGAAGTCCTGAATTCGACAGCTCTTTTTATAGCAGCCTCAGCTGCAACATCAGGGAGAACCTGCTTCATCATATAGATGGGAAACTTCAGGCCAGTGCTGCTGGTCCGGCTACACCGGAAGCTAAGCAGAGTCTGTACGAGCACAGTGTCAACCAAATTCAATTTCCAATTGATATATCGCTGACAGCAGCTACGCCTGTTTACAGCAAGGAATATCCTTCTGAGGATTATGAGAATTCAAGCGAGTACGCTCAGAAACCAGGGAAAACGAGGACCCACCCGCGTCGCGTGTCCTTTGAGAAATATAATTTTCCAAGGAAATACGACGGCAGGGAACAGTGGACCTGTTCCATTAAGGATCTCAGTAAGTTCGATATATCCACCCAGCTGTCGCTTAGGAAGAAGCAACAGCTTATTAAGGAACGATTAACCATCAATAGACTCAATCAGATCTCCTTGATGAATCCTTCGAAAACCGAAGTCGGACAAACGGACTTGGCTACTGCACAAAGCTCCCAAGTCGATGGGAATTCTACTTCTGATGATGGTATCGGTGCTGATCAGATTGCTCGATCGAAGATCGATAAGACTCATTCGATTAATGGCGACGAACAGATTGATCAGCTGAAATCAGAGTGCTCGGCTAAGTGTTCCACGGTTCCGTATACTGGGTCATCCGTGTCTTCTTCGACGTCCAAGCCCACCGAGTTCAGCCTCGAGTTTGGTAACTTCATGCGGCTTAAGAAGTGGGAGGATAATGCCGCGGAGAGTAACAAGAGTCAAGACATCGTCTATGCTGAACTTACTGGGGAATGGTCGCGACCCCGGATTTACATATGCGGCGCATGCGCGACAAGACATGTAGGTGTATTTTGATTTTAAACTATAAATATGTACTTTTTGTCATACAAGGAGTGCTAGCGTTTGAAATAATGTTTTATTTAGAAAATTTTGAAAAATAAATAATTAAAAATATCTTTGTATCTGTTTCAGGTAACTTTGAGGGAAATGGAGGATCATAAGGCATCTTCTCATCCAAACGTCTGGTGTTCGCATTTCGAATTCTCTGGTGATCAGCGTGAACTCTACAAGCATCTGTTCCTACCGGGTCGCAGTGTCGCCACCGTGAAAGCACGCAATGCTTTTCTCAGTGAGAAAGTCTGCACGAAGTGCGCAAAGAACTGCAACACCCTACCGGAATTGCATCGGCACATGCTGGAGTGCGGCGGGGACCAGGCTTGGCTGCAGGGCCTTTTTGGAAATGGAAAGAAGAAATGCAAATGGCGGCCGTTCGGTAGTCGCAGCAGGAGACGAAGACAACGCGGGATGAAGAGGAATATTCAGAATTCGCAAGCACCCAGAGTCAATATGCCCAAGGAGAGACCACCTAGTGGACCTAGAGTTCGACCTAGCGATCGTAAGGCCCATTTTCACTGGAAATTTTAATACCCTCAGGGTCGTACGATTTTACTTTTTCGGTGGCTTACTTGGAGATTTATTTTTCTCAGGTGAAAGTATTCAGAAGATGTTGGCCAACCTGCCACCGAAGAGGGCCTCCAGGAAGGTCCTTCAGGACACGATGACGCGGTCCCAGGGGACTTTGCGTAACGTAAGATTATTTACTGAAACGAGTTTTTTCTTTCAAAGATACTCTATTGGTTATTACGAAACGTTCAGCCTTTTAAGTTTATTGATTTTTCGTATATACGCATTGGCTCAGGTTATATTTCTACTCGTCATTTGCCATCTTTTTTTTAAATACGTTCGCACCCTGCAATTTTTAATTGAAGTTACGGTTGGTGCTTTGGCTGTTCTTTCAGTTCTAATGAACGAGATTATTCATTCCTTCTCGTTATTATTTTCTTCTTAACGAGCTGATCGACGACGTGGCTAATTAATTGGTAAATTCTTTAACGCCTTGTTACATGCAGTCACGTCTTTTGAGGAAGCGGCCCAAGTTACTACTCGATAAGCACAAAGTATGCTGGTTCATTTTCATAGATTATTTCCAACCTGATTGCATCGCCCTTTCAATTAAATAAGCAATTTGCCAATGAAATAAAACAAAGATACCGTTTGCACATTTTTTTAATAAAGGGCAGTGCAACCATTAAAGTTAAACGTACCGTCGACGGGTCATTTAAACCTTTTGTAGCAAAAAACACGTTTATAAAAAATTATAGATATGTTTAGTGTTAAGAATAGACGTGTTTGCTTTTGGAGTTAAAGAAAAATTGTTTAAAATATCACACGAGAGCTTCATCCTTTTTCGAAAAAAAATGTCCCAGGATTATTCATTTAAATTTGCCAACGGAAATTCCATGCGACGGGTAAATATTTTGTTCCTCTAAACGATGAAATTTGTAATCCACGTTAATTTTCAATGAGTCACGCACTGTATAACCAATAACGTTAATGAAAAGCAAATTTTGTTAATGCTGTAAATCTCGTAAAAGCAAAAAATGCAGATATTGGGTAATCGAGTAAAATCATAATATCCTATGACGGAGTAGCCAACCGGCCGGCACGAATGTAAGTTCAGTATTGATCAGGACGCGCACACAAACGCCGCGACCGCATCCATGTTGTGCGTTCAGGGGACGAAGATGCTTTTCATAGCCGAGGCGACTGACTGCTAACTGCCTGACTGACTAGTTGATCGTCTTCGATGATTCCAATGATTCGAGTGACTGGACCCTTGTAGAATAAGCTATTGTAAGGTATCAGGACATATCGGATTTCGTCCTTAAGGAAACCTCCTATCAGTACTTCATTCAATTTTCTAAATATTTTTGAACGATACGACTATTCATATGGGATTTCATTTGTTCAGGTGCAGACCAGGTCGAGGCCACGCTTGACCGTCGAAAATTCCTCGGCGTCGGCGCTGTCGCGCAATAAAGCAGCTTTGAAGAATAAATTATTGAAAAATGCAAAGTCCTTTCAGAGGAATCGTTGCAGGGTCGATAATATTGCCGCTGCGATTGAGAGTGTCGTGAAGGACTATAGTTCCGGGGAGGAGGAGAACGACGATGAGGATGTTGAGGAGGAGGCCGATGACGAGGACGAGGTCTTGGTGAACACCGCCAGGGAGAAGAGTGGTCCAAGGAGTCAGGCTAGACAAAGTAGATCCAGAGTGAGAGGCGTGAGAGTGCTGAGCAAGAAGAGGAATGTCAGGACGAAGGAGATCATGAGGAACGTAGAGAATTCCAAGACCCGCGAGACCAGAGTAAAGAGTAGGCTAGGAGGTAAGAGTGTAGCGAATGGTAGAACGAGTGTTTCCGGTGAAAGTGCAAGTGTTTCCGGGACGGGTACACCCGCCAAGACAAATTCAAAGAGTGTGAAAGCTTCCGGGAAGAGTGATAAAAGTTTAGAAAATAAATTAGTTACAGTGGACAATGTCGAGGGTGGTCAGAACGTCAGGAACGAGAGTTTGACGTCGACGTCGAGGAGGAAGAAGTCTGTGGATCCTACGGCGTCCTTGAACGCCTCGATCAAAGCGAAGTCACAGCTGAGGACGCACGACGGAAAATTCGCGAGGAATCCGAATAAAAAGAGTGTAAATCATGTTAAGAAAGCCAGAGACACTTCGACGAATCAAATAATTATGCGGCCTCGTCGTAACGCTGCTGGTAAATTGTTGACAAGGTCACAGCTCAAGGCGGCTGGAGGGGCCAAGAGAACTTCGAGAAGGACGACCAGGTTGTCTTCGGACAGTGACAAAATGCCGACTCTGGAGCCAGTTGCTGATCCAGAATCAACCGAGGAGGACGCTGAAGAATCGGGCAATGAATTGCCAATTCTTACTCCGGCTGCGAGTGTTCCCGACGAGAGGAACTTGGCTCCCTCTAGATCGAGTGTTTCCTCAAGGAGTGATTCTGGGAAGAAAGGCGTCCGTTATCAGAGTAAACATAGAAAGGAAATGGATTCCGACGAGGTCATCAGGAAGAATGTGGCTGACCTGGCGGTGACAAAGAGCAAACCGCAGCGACGGGACGGGGGACGGAAGTCGGGTAGAGGTCGCTGGAAGAAAAGGATACCGATGATTCGGAAGGATTCTAAGGACATCGACCTGAAGGAAGTTTCCAAAGGGGAGGACAATGAGGACGATATGTCATTGACGGATTGTTCAAGCGAGGGGACCAGGCAAGTTGGTACGAGAAATAGAAAGAACCTAACTGTTGGGAAACCGATTACTGAACACGAATATTTATTGGAACGACGGAGATCCTCCAAGGAATCAAAGACTAACGACCGGAGTCTGGAAGTTCCTAAGAGGAATGTTAGGGATGAAATAAGAGTTCCCAGAACTAGACAGGATCGACGAACAGAGTCACCGGATAATTCCATTAGACTTCTTGATGTTTCACCGGAAGTTCGAAGACTACTGGATCCTGCTGTAAAAGAAGATCTTCTGGCAAAGTTAGGACTGAATTCTAAAGACATGCAAACAAAAAGAAGCCTCAGGACTGGTCAAAAGTCTAGAATGACTCCAACAAGGATCAAAGGACAGAAGAATTCTGTTCCTGATGAGAGTGTCATAGATTCGGATTCTGAGAAGAGTTCAGACCCCACGAAGACAGCGCAGCGCAAGACAGAGAAGTTTCAGGTCCTGAGAAAATCGCCAAGGAACATGGACAGGAAGACTCCAGGAATTGATAGAGAGACTCCAAAGCCTGATGTTCCTGAAGAGAATGAATCCTTGGAGGTTGCAACAAAGGATCAGAATTCGCTGGCATTCGTAAAGGATACATCCGAAAGAGTCTCTGATGAGGATCAGGAAGTTCTTCGTACCAAGCTAAACGATAGTGATGATTTGAGTTCAATGACCAAGAGCGCGTTGAAACTCGACGAACAATTAAATTCAGACACGATACAAGAAACGAAGCTCCAAAAATGTTTACCTGACCGAACAGAGGTGCCTAATCCAAAGTCTCCAAAGAGAAGTAGCTCCCTGGGCAAGCGAAGAGGCCGTATTAAATCCACTGCCTTAGAATCCGACGACCTCACCGATAACTCTATGACTCAGGAGGATTCCTTGGAAGCGGACGCGGAGGACGACCAGTCTACCTCGTCCCTAATCAATGACGAGCATCAAGAAACAGACTCCAAAGATGTGAACGTGGTTGAGTCGCTTAAGCTGGTAACGGCAGATCTGGTGAACATCAGTTTGGAGCATCTGCAGCAGGAATCCAGTAACTCGAACGTGGACAGCGGCAAGGAAAATTCATCGGAGACTCCAGTGAACATTCCCAAAGTGAAGACGGTACGTCCGAAAAAGACAAAAGGTGCGAGGAGAGATCGAGTCGTGAAAAGGACACTGAGTAACGTAATCGGGATTCTGACCGAGGGTGTAAATATTCCAGTGGAAGCTCAGCAGAGCGTCGTGCTGACTGTGCAGACTTCTCTAGACAGCAACAATCCTGAAGCAGTTCAAAGTAGCGATGAACAGGCTAATGAGAGGAACGTCGTCCCGGGTGGACCTTTGAATCCTGACCGAGGAGATAAAACCAATGGAAATAGTGATATAGGTTTAGATGTGACTGCCGGTAGTGGTGCTAGCAGTGCCAGTAGTGCCAGTGAAACTGTCACGAACATTGAGAATGAAGTCAAGCAGGAGTCAGTGTCTTCCTCGGGAGTGAATAGTGAAACGGATATCTCATTGTCAGTTCAGTTCACTAGTGCAAGTTCACTGGATCCTCAGGACAACGTGGATCCTCATAAGGATAAGGTCGAGGAGACGTCGACCGATCATCCTGCCAATGACATCATTCTGGACCTTTCTCGTAGGAAACCAAAAGGTAAGGGATCCTTCCTTGAGAAAATCGTCTCGAAGATTGCTAAGCAGAAGGATGTTCTTCTTGAGGGTGAGGTTGGCTCGCTTTTGGACAGTGCCGCCGATGAGTTAACCTCTATCCTCGACGAGGTCGGTCCTGCTTTGACGGAAATTTCAAATGCGAACGTTCACGAGTTTGACTTTGACAAAAATGAAGAAGGCCACGAAGACATTTCTACGGTTACCATGTGTACTGATCAGGATGTTGCTGAGAAGGAATTCTCTGAAAATGAATGCTTAATTTCAAGTGTTGATAATTGTGAGGTCGCTAGTTCAACCTCGTTTATAATGGATGTTACAATGAAGGAGGATATTGCTAAGGACGATACTAAAGAATCTAAGGAGGAGGATCTTTTGGAAAAGGCAAAAAGAAAATCGAAAAAACGTTCATTGGAGATAAATTCTCCTACAAAAAATAAAAGAAAATCCGTGGAAGAGGAAGTGGAGGAGGAATTCAATGAAGAGGAGGAACTGTGTCTTGCTGACATTATGAAGCTCATACAAAAACCGAAAGAGTCTGAAAACATGATGGAAGATGCTGAGGGTAATCAAGATGGGGATGACTATACTAATGAAAAGGTTAGACCAGGGAAAAGAAAAGCTTTGGAGGATGACGAAGAAGAGGAAATCGTTGTTGAAAATGCAGCAACTAATAACCTTCCAATAAATATCATTGAAATGAACAGTTCTCTTTCAGAATATGAAGCTGTTGAGGAAACAAAGAAATCCAGGAACCGGAAGTCCAGCAGGAGAAAGTCTCTCACTGAGGAACAGCAACCCGTCCTCGTCCCGGAAGAAACTGAAGATCCTAAAGTTGATATAGAGAAGAAAAGTGGGAAATCTGATGAAGAAATTCAGGGGCTATCTCCATCGAAAATCAGCGGTAAAAGAAAATCGATTACTGATGAGGATATTAAAAGTGATTCGGAAAACATTGAAGAACCAATGACGTCTTGTGATTCTTCCACAAAAAGATTATCTAAGAGAAGATCAGTTCTCGGCGACAGTGTGGGTGTAGGTACTGAAGGAGAAAAATTAAAAGGCGAGAGTCAAAAATTGTTGTACGATAAGATTGTAGAGTATGAATCTAAAATATCTGCTGAAAATATTTTCAAAATGGTAGAACCTTCAAAATCCAAAGACAATGAAATGTCGTTGGATATAAATGTAATGGAAACTATAGATGTACCTGATGGACAAATATCTTCACTAACTTGTTTACTCGAATCATCAAAATTCATCAGTCAGTCTCTTGACGAACAAAAAAATGTAAGTGTCGAGTGGGAAGAGAGAAAAAATAGTCAAGACAATTTTGATATAGGAGATTTGGAAAACACAAAAATTCTGGAATTGCAATCAACTTTGTTAAATTTTGAAAAATCAACAAAACGTAATTCCAAACGGAAGTCTCTCGCGGACGAGCATCTAGAGCTGCCAGATTCACCTGGTGAGAATAAAATTCTCGAATCGCCAAAAAAGCCTTTTGGTGATTCGCCGGAAGATGCAAAAGTTACTGAAGAATTCAATTCGCCATTAAAGAAGAAAATTTTTAACAGAAAGTCCGAGGCGGATGATACTCCTCAGGAAGACGTTTCCATACCATCGTGCACCTTGAAGACTCAGAAACAGTCAGAATTAACAACCGGATCTCTCGAACCGTTCAAGGTACCGGAAGTCAGCGAAGTCTTGCAACATACAAAAAAGCGTTCCTCAAAACGAAAAACAGTAACTGACGTACATCTGAATTTTTCTGAAGATCAGCCACCCTCCGAATCTCGATATTCACCGCTGACAGTGTCACACGTGGCTGTGGAAAATTCGAATAACCAGGAAGAAATGGAAATTGTAAAAAATTTAAACGACAAGGAACAAAGCATGAAAATTACGGAAAAGGACAACGAGGACATTTTAAAAGAACCGGAAGTCTTCAAGCTGCCAGATGTAACTTCGTCGAACAGACGAAGATCTTTCAAACGAAAAAATGCAGGATGTAACCCTTCGGAGTCCCCTGAAGATCTCAGTCATCAAGATCAAAGCCCGGTCAGAGTGGCAGATCAGACAGATAATCCTCACAGCAGCGAAGCAGGATATTCTATGAGGAAACGATCATCTAAACGGAAGTACCTGATAGATGATCTTGAAGATTTTCCAGATGACATCTATACAGATAATCCAAGAATGGATATTAATTCTATTGATGCAGAGAAAAATAGCTGCTTTGAACGACGACAGACTCCCAAAAGAAAAGCAAAGAAGAATATTCCATTGATCGACGAACATTTGGATCTGTGTGATGATCTTGATATTCCTGATGATTTGAGGAGTGAGGAAATATATCAAGAGCAAACGATAAGAACGGTAAAAGTTGATAACTCTAACAAGAGTGAAAAATTGAACAATTCCGAAGACAGTTTGAATTCCAATACGGAAAAGTCATCGAGTGAAGTTGTTGATGATGATAATGAAAGTTGTCCAGTCTCTAGTGAAAGTAATACTGAAATTCCAGATACCGAAGATCCAACCAAGGAGGAGTTTCAGACACCTAAAAAACGCGGTTCCGGTAACTTTGCCATCGTTCATACAAAATCCGGGGAAATTCTTATCGTTGAGAAAAAGAAGAAACTTACGAAGGAAGCACCGAAATTCTTTTGCGACGTTTGCGCGACAAGTTTCACGCGTAAAAGTTCCCTGAAGAAGCACAATCTCTCGCAATCCCACCTGGTCCAAATGGGTATGGCTGGTAAGGATCAAGATAAAGATAACGTAGACCTCAACGACGACGATTCGGTGAACACTTCAGGATTTCCTGGTGATTCGTTGGACGAGAACGATAGTAGCAAGAGTAGTGATGCAGAAATGGCTACGGAAAATTCCAACGACGAGGAGGAGCTGAATGAACTTGATAAGATTTCAGATAAATTCACAAGGGACATTTTGACGTCTTTAGAATCTCAAGATTTGGGTGATCCGCCAAAGATTTCCTTGACCCCACAGATGTCCGAGGAAGAAGCGCTCGAGGAGGAACTTTTGGATGAGGAAATTTGTAAAATAACTGAAAATATGAGTCATGACGAATACGTATTAACTGATCATATTAGTCCAGTCTTACCTGAAGCTTCTTCCACTCCTGTTACTGTTTCCTTGAAGAAGGCACAGGACAAGACAAAGAAATCTAAGAAGGATCAAGAGAAGAAGAGAAATTTGGCTAAAGAACACTTAGACCTTGATTCACCGACGCCGATTAATCATTCGAATATTTCTCCAGGATCCTTTAAGGACATTGAATTCATAAAGAAAATGCCTGATGATAAGATAGTAGAATCTGATACGTCCCAAGATAAGAGTACATTAGAGCCATCAGAAATAAAGTTCTCCAAAAAGGAGACTCAAAATTTGGAAAAGCATGACTCCACGAAAAACCATATGGAATCAAGCTTGAAAAAATTGGACGAAGAAAAATCTGAAGAATACACAAAAGGCTCTATAAAGATTCAAGAAACTTTACGGAAAGGTACGAAAATCTCCGATTTTAAAAATATTGAACTTCACTCAGATGAAAAGTTGGAGCAAAAATCCAAAACGAATTTCAGTGATGTATCATTGTCAATTTTTTCAGAGTCGAATCTCAAAATTCAACAAGAGAAGGAGGGTTCGTTTCAAGAATCACCAGCAGATGACTCCACTTTTGAAGATCCGATGAAGAAGTGTGCCAGCGTATTCCAGGACTCCAGGAAGATAGTGGAGCAAGAAGGTTCCTCGTCCTCGAGTTTCGCCGACAAGCCTTTGGCGGAATTCTTGACGAAGAACGTCGAGAAGTCGGACAGGAGAAGTTCGCGCAAAGGAACGGAATCCGAGTTGAACTTCTCGAACATCGCCGTGAAGTTACGTGCCCAGGAAACTTCAACGACGGGGACGTTGACGGGTACAACGCTGGAGATGAACAATTCCTTCGCGACGGAATTCGATAGCGATGAGATGTCAATGGACACGAGCATGTCGGTCGACATACAAAAGCTTCTTAACGATCCTGAACTTGAAACAGACGATAAACAGATAACTTCACAGGATAATGTAGAAATGAAGTTAGCTACGAATCCTCGAGATTCTTCGAAGAGTGACTGCAGCCACGAAAAATCTTTTAACTCGAAGAGGACAAAAAGCAACATCACTACTCCGTGTAGCACGGATGCAGACACATCCGACAATGATTCCTATATTGGAAATAAAAAATCTAGGTCCCAGGAAAACAAGGCAAATGGCAGGAAAGCGTCAAAAATTCAAAAGACTTTGAGAGAAAGCAATAGGAAGAACAGAATGGTCAAAACAAAATCAAGAAGACAGTATTCAAGTATTCTGACTGAAGATTCGAGTGACAGTGATGAGGTCGATGAGGACAGAATCGAATCGAGAAATAAAAATAAAATAGTGAAGAGTGTCTTCGGTAGGGTCTTCGCAGGTGAAAAGGTGGATAAGGTGAAGGAGGTCTTGGATGATTGGGACTCGAGATCAGAGCTGGAGGATTTTCAGGATAAAGGATCGGATATTGTCTGTGCAGGGGATGAGAATGAGAATGCGAATGAGAATGCTACTGTAGCTTTCATATTGACACCGGAAGTTGAATCAAAGATCACGAGTAGTGGCAATAGAGTAAATAAAGCTAGATCGTGTACAGTGTCTGATATGGATTCAGCATCGGGCAAGAGAAGCTCTCTTGAGAATAACAAGAGAAATAGATCCAGGAATGCAAGAGAGAGGAGGGACAGTTCTTTATCCGAGGACAGAAGTAGAAACAATTCCTCGAGTAGAGCAGCAGCGAAGTCTCGACTGTCTTCAGATAATCAAAAGAGACAGGAAGTTCAAAGTAATTTATCGATTAGTTCAGCCGACGTGGTACTGCCGAGTTCAAGATGTCGACAGAGCAAGAAGAGAGCCGAGGAAAGAATCTCGCGGGCTTTTGAGGAGGAATCGACAGAATTTAGAAGATCCAGTGATTGCGAGAGATCTGGAAGATCCAGAGATCTTTCTTACGGGTTAAGAAATCAAACGAAATTATCATCCACTCCTTCGAAGGAGTCCATGGATTCTCGTTCAGTTAGAGACGAGGAGCAGGACAGTCTTGATCTTTTGGAATCTTCGGATCCGGAAACGGAAGTCACGTTGAAGAGTGTTGCCAAAGGGAGAATATCGTCGATGAAGAAGACGAAGAAAAAAGATAACAAGGACTGGGAGGATTTCACAGAGGAAAAGCAGCAGGTGGCTTCTACGCCGTTAGAAAAAATATTAGGCCGTAAAAATCTGAACAGTGATTCCGAGGATAATATAACCAAACCTTTCCAAAAAGCGGTAGAGTTGAAGTCTCGAGATTTTATCGTCAGGTCACCGAGATCACCCAGGTCACCAGCTCAGAGCAGCCTTGCGCCAAGCAGTATAAGAAATCGTTCACCGACACCAGATAGAAATTCACAATCGTCCCAGGAAGAAGATCACGAGGACGAGGAGGACATAACTCGCTGTAGAATTTCACCACTCTTCGTGCTCACCAGCCCTGAAACATCAATGGACAGTGCATCGAATTGCAACGAGATACCAGTCAACCAGGAAGTCAGTATCTCAAGGAAGCGCAGCACGAGTGAATTCTCCGGCGACAAAGTCGTGATCAGATCGCCCTTGTCGAACAATGAAAACACACCGGAAGTAGTAACGATAGCCCCAACGGATGCGGTCGAGGACAACGCCCTGGACGTTCCCCAGGAGACGCTACCTCAGAAATCACGGCAAGGAAAAGTTTTGAATTTCGATGAAGAACTCTTTGTAGAATGTTGCTCGAGGCTGAAAGCAACGACTGAGAACGAATTACGAGGCGCCAAGAAGATCAAGCTAGATCATTCGGATGGCTTCCACAAGAAAGAGGATCCATCAGCATTCAGATCAAGTAGAGATCGTTGGCGTGACGTGGAGAGTCAGAACAGTCTTGGAAGTCTTCTGGAATCTGTGAATCAGGTCAGTGAACCAAGTTAAAAGAAATAATAATCGATACAAAAATCATCAGCTCAAATTTCACGTCACAAAACATACTCACAATGCACATATATAGTAATACGTGTCATACCCAGTAAAAAGCACGAGCCAAATGTACAGGGCGAATTGGATATAAAAATGTTCACCGCTGCATGCATCTCCACAAATTTCCTGTTTGTCAAAAAAAAATCCCTATTCATCGCTTTCACATTTTTTTCTTTTTCTTTTTTTTTGTAAATAGCTTTTTGAGCGAAAATCCAAAAATGATCACGTACATAATTCGTCGGATGCTTCCCTCCATATTAGGTATCAGGAGTGACGCGAGCGACGGTCGTCGCTTGCGTTTACTCTTGACTTCTCTTTGCTCTTTGTTTCTGTACCGCGAGAGGGTGTAAACTGGTATCAAATACTGCAACTGCAACAGTGCAGCTGCGTGGGATTGGAAGTATGCAGGCATGCAGGTGTGCGCGTTTACAGTACGTGAAAGTAAAGTGGGC